CATTGTATTTCCGCTCTTCTGAAGGTTGCGTTGCTTCTTTTAGTACTGCTCAGGGAGATTTAAGGTGCACCGTTGGCCAACTGTGTTCACCCTCCACAGCAGTTGTGCTGTTCCAACCTGTTGCAGTCATTCAGATGTAATGGCACTTTGAGCTGTCGAGAGCCTTTGGAGTTTTTTAAACATAATTTGACTATTTGAATGTCAAGGATGTTTCTCACTCTTCGGTCAGTTCCTTGTAATAAAGAGCTAAGTGAACCCTGAACAAATAAAGCAGTGTGTTTTCAAGTCAGTGGAGAATTCAAGATGGTACCAATGGTTCTTGGGGAAGGCTCTTAGCCCACAGCTGTAATAACAGCCAGTACCCAATTAAACAAGGCTGGAGACTGGGCTTGGGCCAAGTCCATTCTGGTTTTGTCCCAAGTGTATTAATACTCTCCCCGGCAATATTCAAGCAAGGTTTGGAGGATAGCGCAGACCAGAGGATATTCCCTGTTTTGCACAGGGACAGAATTGAGCAATGTGTACACGATCTGTGCCATGCCACTTCCCTCAAGGCTAACAAAACACCTCTGTTTCATAGTGTGGATGTGTAGAAGGCAATCAGTCAGGGGATCTCACTCCTCTGAAAAGGTCAAAGGTGGACAAGCCTGGTGCCCACCCTACAGCAGTCAGAGTAGAGTCCATCCCACGCATACTGACACATTGCCCAAGAATGCCGTGGTTTAATAGACGTGCCCTACTGCTGGAGACAGGATTTCCCATGGGGCAGGATGGTCATTCCCATATTGGACCTTTAGCCACCATGCAAAGACTTTTGTTGTAGCTGTACGGTTTGAGGATATAACCAAGGCAGACTATGTAGACAGAGGTAAGAGACGTTTCCTCTTCCACAGACCTTCCAGCAAAATAAAAGTCTCATTCTTTCAGCCTTTGGAGAGGATGATTTTCAGAGGAGCTCAGTCTCCTAATGTTTCATGGGCTGGTAAAGTATGATGTTAGCCCCAGAGCATTAAAATTACAGATTAAAGCACACATCCTTCAATTCAGGAGGCTGGGTTTTGCCAAAGGCTTCAGATGAAACTTTTAATCAGTATCAGTTTGTATCCCTGTGCTTCAAACCGTGGACCTCTGGGGGTATTAAATAATCACTTAGCTCATCCCTATCTGTTGTGAGGAACACATTAACCTCTGCAAAACCCTTGTGAGATGCACTGCGGCAGGTTGTTAAACTCACGTCACAGTTGAGTAGCACCAGCCCAGGCTACGGCTGGTGATATGCTGCAGCTTCCCAAGCAGGGAGATGAGAAGCCTTCCCACACCACGCAGTGCAAAACATCCTGTGAGAAGCGATTACATACAGATACAATATCAGCAATTAACCTCTGACTTTTTAAAAGGAAAAGCCTTGCAGCTAACCAGATAGCACTGAAACGCCGTTACTCTAATTACAAACGCAGGATGGAGAGAAAAGCCTCTCTTTGCCTAATTCAGGGGAGGGGGTTGAAACCAAGGGCTCCAAACAGTCCTAGGATTTACTGTACACTCAGGTCTGATCTTAAGTGCTCTGTCTCCATTAGATGGCCTCATAATTTCCCCAGAAGATAACCAAGTGCAATTTATGTTTTGTATTAAAAAAAAAAAAAACACATAGAAAAATAGCATGTTTGGGAAACAGGAGAAATGCAGCTGACACAACCTGAGAGGCCTCCTGATAGTTTACAGATTAATCCAGGCTTCCTTAGATCTGTACCCATAGAGATACCAAGTCATGGTTGGCATATTGTGCAGAAGATGCAGTTGCTTCTGTGTTTGCACCCAAATTACAGTTGGACTCAATGACCTTAAGGGTCTTTTCCAACCTAAATGGTTCCGTGATTCTATGAAATTTTGCATGGCATCTTACACTTGCCTTGCTCAGTCCTCCAACTCCCCGGAGCGCACCTGTGTTACAGCAGGATGCTGCAGGGAGGGTTGAATTCCTAATTTTCTTCTCACTTGTGCCATTTCTTACCCATTTCTTTCAGTAGGAATCACCCAGGATTTACATTAGAGTAAGTAGGTGGGGTATCAAGACCAAGGAAAGAATACTCTTGTGCATTTGCACATGGGAAATAGTCTTGAATGCACTTAACTATGGGATTTTATTTTTCCCTTTCGCCCGCCCTCAAGGGAATAACTATCTTTCTACCCCACTCCCTTACCCCAGTGTCCTTTAAGGATGACATGTCACTGTTGTTTTTTTTCCCAGGGAATTTTACTAATGAGTCTTTCTCTCCAATTTTGCCTAGATCCTCGTTTATAATCCAGCTTTTATGAAATATGTCTATGAAAACTGGCTCCAACATCATGGGAGATACCCCTCCACAGGATTTCTGTCTTTGATATTTGCACTCCACATTTGTGATGAGGTAAAAGTCTGGCTGTGTTTGGACAGATGGATAAAAAATCAGGATGTTTCACACTGAAGTGCCAGGAACATGCCCTGGCCACTCACTCAGCCTTTATTTCCCTCTGTCCATCTACTCTGCCATTTGCTTCTTCAAACAGATGCAGGGTCCTCAGTAACATGCAGATATGCTCAACTGGCAGTGACTGATTATCTTGATGTCAGCAAGTGATGCTAACATCACATGGTTTAAGATGTATTCCAGGGGAATATAATTATAAATAGTGAGATTCCACTTGGTATCAAAAGACATCTAAATATAGATGGTGTCTGTGCCCATCTTGTTAGTGGAAGTCCCAGTTGTATTTTGTCTCACTGTGAAGGCACCAAGAGCCAAGTGTTGTCCTGGGCATGCCCTCTGCCTCCAGCTGCCAGGCCAGAAAAGTACAAATCTCTTGGCCTTGTGTGACATCTGCCTGCCTTGAGTAGATATACTGAGTACCTAAGGACATCTCAAATGGCACTTACGTTTGGGCAATTGCACTGAGGTTGTATCTGTCTCATCAGTGGAGCCAAGCCAAGCCATTCAGCAAACCAACCTCCTGGTAAGACATTAGGGGAGCAGGATCACTCCCTGGTTTCCAGTGACTGTGCCGCCTGAATCACCGCTGACTGTAATGGATGCCCAGGCACCTCCATTTGGATATCTAAACCTTAAACATAATCCCACCTGAAGAATTTCAATGACCAGCTCTTGGACAAGCCAATTTGGGGAATGCAGATGGTCTATTTTCAAACCCAAGTTTGTGGGTTTATACAGTAGGTTATGGTAAATGCCTCTGCTCCAGCAGTTACCTGAGGAAATTCTCCAGCTTGAGTGATGTGAGGTGCTCCTAGGTGACTGGAGACTTAGCTAGTTAGTGTAAGGCCAGGTCAGCTTTACAAAAACCTGGAAGCGTGGGCTTGTCAGCATGGGGGATAAAAATTACTATGCTGGCAAAATCCCTGGCCTGGACACAGATCTACTCATGAAAGAGAGCTTTTGTCACCTAGGCCTGTCTTGCTTGGAGAGATGATGGAAACATTCCCAACGATGCTAGCAGGAACTGTACCATGGTCAAGGCAGATAGGATGGGTGGCTTGAGTGGAGACAGTTTTCTAGTAAGCAGGCAATGAACAAGACTCTGACATTACCAAAAAGAACTTAAAACAGCTTATATTTGGGTGTGTCCAGGTGTGAGTGAGTTAGGGTGCTTGTTTTGTGGGCTATGACCCATTCAAACCCAGCCATGTAGCCACTCTCACTTTAAATAAAAGTCAGCTGTGATGTTTGGACTTTTACCACCCAAGGAGACAGGCATAGCTATCGATGAATGAGCCGTTGGGAGAGCAAAGGCCGTAGGCATATACACACACAAAGAACATAATGTCTGTTTGCCTCTGAAGTGACTGTGAATGTCATATAATTAAGTATATAAGTGGGGGTCAGCATGGGCCATCATTTGGAAGATGAGGAGCAAAACCTACATTTTTCCAATCTGTGTGGCCTTAATCAGCTAAAGAGGAGATTCCCATCCCAAGCCACTGACCTCCTGAGATCAAACATCATGCTTAGGGGACAGGAATGTGTTTTTCATATGGGTAAACAAGAGCTCATGGACAGAAATTTCCTTTTCTGTCTGGGCTCAGGTGTGATGGTGGTCTCAGCTTAGGATGTAATGTCCCTTGAGCAGGCCTTGGGCTGTTATTCTGCAATTGCATCATCTCATGCAGTAGAACAGCTTGGCACACCACCAAGGCCCTCAGGTGCTGCTGCCTATAGATAAACTGAGAATCCAAAGAATTCCTTCAACACTTCAGAGCTTTCCAGGCCATAACACTAGTTCTGTCTTACTTCCTTAGGTGAATGTATACGGTTTTGGAGCAAACAGCAAAGGACACTGGCATCACTACTGGGAAAACAACGCTTCAGCTGGGGCTTTCCGGAAGACAGGTGTCCATGACGGGGATTTTGAGTTCAATGTAACTTTGACTCTTGCCTCCATTGAAAAAATAAGTTTTTTCAAGGGCAGATGACCCTGGCCACAGGGAGAAGTGGGGGCTGCAATTTCCAACATGCAGCAGAAAAGAGCTCAGTGAAGATGATCTGGGCACCAGCCAGGCTTGAATGCGTGAATCTGCGGTGGATCCGGAGCATCTCACTGCTGCAGTGCTCACGGCAGGGCGCTCAGCTGAGGACCGGCTTCCACGCTGCGTGTGATTTCCTACCTACAGATAGCTGGGAACTACCAATCAGTTGTGGGAATAAATAAATCTCTGCTTAGGCTCTACGGCTTGATTTCTGAATTACTGATGAAAGGCCTGCCTGTTGCAATTAGGGGAAACCTGGGCACAGGAACTGCTGTTTACATGTCCGTTCTTTCCTCGAGTAAGGCAGGAGATCCTTGAAGAAGAGTGAAAACTATTTCTGGGACTTGAGACCCATTAGGGCAGCTGTGAACATCATAGTAAGGATTACCTCAAAGAAATGAATTCACTTCTGCTGTTGATCTTCTTTTTGAACTGTCTCTTCTGTTTCCTCTATTACTTCTGGTTTTATGTTGTATCAAGCAAAAACGTGATGAAGTTGCCTGGAGGCCATTGCCTCATTCTGCATTGACAGTGTATAGAAAATATAGATCAAATCATCTCTGATCATATATTATTTAATATCGGTTCCTATACAGCCATAATGAGAGAGAAAACAATACTGAAAACTCCAGCAAAAAATGGCCTTTTTAGCCACTTGTTTGTTTGTCTTTTTTTGTTTTATATATATTTTTTCTTTTTTTTGGTGGAAAATACTCTGGAATGCTCATTTTTATTTAATCAGCTTAAGGTTGGAAAGTGGACTTTTTTCTTTCAGTCATTTATATGTGCCTTTTATAATTGTGCAACAGATGTGATTTTTTCTTTAAAGATGACAAACTCAAAATTAAACTTTTTTATAAAAGGGGGAAAAATTAACCAAAGTTTAGCCTCCATGTGGTATGCTTTTGTATGGTCAAAACCAATAATAACAGCTCCTATATTGTATTTCAGCAAATGCAATTAAGACTAATTTTTAAAGGTAGCTTTTACCTTTTTTATGGGAAAATATCCAAAAGTTCCACGGAAACTTTTCCTCTTATTTTTTTACAAATTTAAAAAGTGGTATCTCTTTACAAGATCTCTATTTGAAATGGAAGAAATATCATGAGTTGGGATATCAGCTAGTAATACACTAAGAAACTTTGGCCCTGCAGCACCATCTACAAGGACACAATCTACGCAAGCTGATCCTTCAGTGTAAGCTAGACTTCAAAATTACGTGCATCTCTGGAGGAATGAGTGTGTTAATGCCAGTACCTCTAGACAGTGAGAGGAGGGAAGTGACATTGGAGATTTTACATCCACAGATCTTTGCTGGAATCAGTGCATTTAATCCTCATGGACAGATAAAGTATGAATCCAAGAACAAAGTTCAGGTAGTGAAGAATGGAGAAAAGTGGCTTTTTCTTCCTGATATCATGAAAGTAGGATTCATGGGTTATTGCCCCATTCTCAGCTCTAGTAAAGGCAATGGAGTTCTTGCCATAGGCTTTAAGGGACTTTAGATCAGGCTTGGAAAAAATGGCATATTTAAGTTTTCATGGATTACAATGGTTGGTGTTTGTGGCAATTTAGAAATCATCATCTAAATGACCCATCTTTCATGCACCAGATCTGGCAACACGTTCAAGCAGATGAGTATTTGAGCTCAGTGAAAGCCTAGCCCTTCGACCAGTGATGTGCTTCAGTCCAAGATCTATCCCCTTGTCTTTCCATGCCAGTTGTTATGGAGCTCCCGTCCAAGGCAGCAATTCATGGCACAATGACACGGTCAGCTGAAATATCCTAATTTTGGGCCACAGCACCATTCACCGACATGAACTGCTTTACCCACACGACTATTACTGGACTCGCAGCGTATAAAGCCAAACGTCTGTGCGAGGAACTGATGTCCCTTCGCTGTACACACATGACCCTTTGGTTTAGCAATATGAAAAGAGCAGGATTTTCAAATCCTCGTGCTGAGACCTGTTCATGATCTTCATGTCAAGAAGCCCTTTCTCAGCATGGTGGCCAGCAGAACTACTCACCTGCATGTCAGAGGTGGAGCAAATTCAGTGGGCTTAGTGTCTTCTACATGTCCTTTGTAAAAGAGTGAAACATTTCTACTTGAACCATGTTTGTTTGTTTTAAGCATTCCCACTGTTTAAATTGTTGTTAATAAGTTTCTGGTGAGCTGTCACACTAATACAAGCAAAGCAACTTAAAGAGGAAAAAGACTCCATGGAAGACCTCGATGGTATCTTCATCCTGTGGCTGGATTTTGGATATACTTTCTTCATCATGAGCTTCAAGTATTTTAATTTTTTTTCTCATGGACAGACGTCACTAATTCAGAAACTTTTCATTGCTGTTTCAGTCATTTTTAGAAATATTTGGAAGAAAACTCATGGCGGTTTGGTACCCAAATGATGTTGATTTTTTTTTTAATCACAGGTGGCAGTTTGGGATCAAAAAAAGTGGTAAAAATCAGCTATCTTCTAGCCTGTGTTGTTCTGAAAGTTTCCTTTTGTTGTCCGAATTAAATTTGCAGTTTTCCCCTGAGTATGCTGATGCTGCCTCTGAGAGCACATATGAAACATCATGGCTCATACTATTATGGATAGATTTAGTGTCCTCATCATGGAACAAGCTGCAATTCCGATTTAATTTTCTTGCTGACAGCAAGCAGTAACTGTGTACCACTGATGTCCATTTTTGAGAGCGTGAGGAGAGCGGAGAGTAGACCTTCCTAGCTGTAGGATGAGGGAGAGTCTGTGCCATCACATTTCTATTCCAGAGGAACTTTTTCTAGAGTCCTTCAGGAACTGACTGTTGTGTTAGATCTTTATCTCTGTTTCTCCACAATTTTGCTGCTCTTTCAAATGCCTTCAGAATAAGGAGATACCGACAGATGATGCTGAGGGAAGAATTAATTCCCACTGTTGAAGACTGTCTGTGTTCCTGCTAGAAACTTTCTGGGTTTATTTTGTTTAAAAGAACAACAAAGGAAAACACTTAGCAACATGTCAAGGCTTCAAACTGTATTTGCCACCACTGCAAAGTCTCTGAAGCACTCCTTGAGTGTGTGTGAAGTTTTTTTACCAAAGCCAAATCTCTTGAGCACTTTTTTCCCCATGCCCAGATTTTCCTCCTATTTTTCTTTGACTACACAATCAATTATGATAATCATCTTTTATTTCTTGCTCTGTTGGTGGGGAGTCTCACTCAATCATTCTTTCACATTTTATTTATTTAATTTTTCAGTATGATATGAAAAAAAATAAATTTTTATTGTAATCAAATCAAAGCTGTTTCTCTCTGTGCACACTTCTTCCCATAATATTTCCATTAGCTCCTAGAACCTGCTCTGTCACATAACAGTGTAATGAAGCCTTATTCCACTTCCCTCCCACCCACGCTTCGGGCGACATCAGCATGCTTCAGGCTGCCGGAAAGCTTGTGGTCATGTGCATCGCACTGCCCAGCTTATTGCAGCTCTAGGCCTCTCTGGAGAAAAGACTTAAACTTTATAGGCCTGTGGTCTCCTGATGGATCTATGCCGTATTTAGGTAATATATAAGGGAAATTATGGCAGACTCAGAAATCAGTGACTTGAGAAGGTATTCAGCTGATCTGTTCTCTGGGACTGACAGACCTGGCTCCCTTCATAGAAGAGATGCTGAGGATCCACCCCAGGTCCCTATTTTAAGGGTCTAATTTAGCTGCTATGATTACACAAGCACTTTAGTCATGGATGGCCTAGGCTGTCCGTTAGAAGAAGCCCATCTAGGAGATGGACATCGCTGATGTTACAAACCCAGCCTTTAGTGGGTGCAGTGAGTTTACTCAGAGAATCGGGTGTCACTTCAGCATGCCACATTGCCTCATCTGCATGACCATGGCTTTACTTGGGGACATTCCACCTTAACTGTTTCTTGTGGGCCTCATAAGCTGCTCAGTTTCCTTGTGCACCATTTCCATTTGTTGTTTAAGGGAGTGAGTAGGGTAGACAGCCTAGCAGCAATGCCAGTTGCCCATTGAAATGCAACCAATCTGGTTGCTTAGTGGTAGAAGCTCAAGAAGTCATCACAGGGCAGCTCAGGAAGTTCTTGTTCAGATACAGGCAATGTTCTGGTGGTCACAGTAAGAGCTGCTTTCCAGTGGGACCTTCAGAGGACCAAGTTCTCACGAGCTTCTTCACACTTCGCTTTTCAACCCAGGTTCTAGATGTGCTGCATCAGTGGCATATTAATCACCGTTGGTGGATACCACCCAGCCAGCATCACACTTGCTGAAAATGGATGGGAAGTAGAAGAACAGAAGTCTGAGGAGTTATCCCAGTCACTTCAGGTCCTGGAGCCTGGTTTCTGCCCAGAGCTTCTATAACCAGGCTGGTCACAGGGTTGTTCCAAACCGAGTAAGTAGGAGTGCTAACCTGGGATGGCTATCGAACAGGACTGTCCTTCACAGTGGCTCTGTACCTTCGTACTTGCCACTCTGCAGAGGAGATGCAAAGCATTGGCTCCTCTGTCATCCTCAGCAAAGCAAAGTAACACCAGGGAACAGCTTGCTCTTGAAAATCATTTTGTGTTTTGCTTCATGTCCACTCACAAAAAACAAATTGAAATGCAGCTTCCAGGTCTGAAATGAATTTGTCAGGAAAGTAATTTGCATAAAATTACAATCTGAAGACCCCCGAGACTAGTAAGACATGCAGCAGCAACAACAGCAACATCCAGACAGATGGACCGACCACAGGAGTTGGACAAAGGACTTTGCTTATACCATCAAATGAAGAAAGAAAATACCCACAGGGGAACAATATGGCTTCAGTTCATGGCATGGGTTCCTTTGATGGCTCACGTTCAGGATAGCAATTAAACCCAACAAATGAAAAGGCAAGGGAGTCCCTTGCCACCTTTAAAAAACTGTTTTCTCTTGTCTTTCCTATAGACTTTCAGGGAGCAGATCTCATTACATTTTGTTATCTTCAGGCAATGTGAAATAAAATGTGGTTCACACAGTGAAAAGTTCTCCAAGGCTAGGTACTTTTATGCAGAGGTAAATCTCTGTATTTTCAAGTTTAATTTTCTCCTATAGGGAATTCACCATGTTGCTTTACTCCTTAGTTTCTAAGGTAGTCTTTGGCTGGCAGAATATAAATATATCCATATGGGATTTTGTCTGTGTCTGCGACATTAACACTCCTACTAAGACAGGACATTTCCCAGAATAGTTACTTTTTCAGCATAATTAGAGACTCCAGAGTTACACAGCAACTACTAGCTGCTCCCTGTCCACCCAGACACTAAACCGGTAAGAAAAGCATCCTGGCCTATGCCACTAACGCTGCATCCTGCACCACCATGATGTTCCTCCAAAAATGCCCCAACCAAACCTCCAGATCAAGCGTTGCATCAAGCAGCCCCTTAGAGCACTTTCTCCCTGTGTGGATTTTTGTGTTCCCCTCCTTGCTTTCCTGGGGCTGGCCCCGAAGTCCTGTCACCATTCGGGGCTCCCCCAC